AGGAGAAACTTGACTCTGTAAATCCTTTACGAGGAAACGTTCCTATTTTGTTCCGTTATGGGATGCTTAACGTTAAAGACGAAGAGCTTAGGATTTCACTTTACACCCTTTGTATGCACTTACAAAATCACTCTGCAATCCATTTACCACACTCTCTACTCTGCTTTCATTATTTCAGGCTTATATTACCCAGGGATTCCAATAATCTACAGGGTGTTTCCAAGAGATGGACCCACTTTCAAAGCAGTATATTTCACGATGGCAACATGTTACAATTACACGAAAAGTTACAAACGGTTTAATGAGTTATCAAGTTTTACTAAACATTTTATAAATGCTCTATGTGCCCTCCACCTGCTGTACGGACAACATCGAGACGATAGTTGAATTCGTCCCAAACGCCTCTCAAAGTGTATTCATCCACTGAAGTCACCACTGCCGTGATTCTGTTTTTGAGGTCATCCAGATTAGTCGCTAATGGTGGCACAAACACGGTCATTTGTGCCACCATGCTCTTTGACATTGGCGGATCAATGCCAAAACACCGTTGAAACGCACGCTGCACCGCAATAACGGATTCAGTCTTGCTGAACTGCAGAACGCACAACGCCTTGTGTTGCGGGGTCACCGTCTTGCGAATGACTGAGGCTAAGGGCTGTTTGTGCGCTGGGAGAGGCGTCTAGCGGTAATCATTTGAAACTCTGTGCCCCGCAGTGGCGGCTCCTGCAAAATCTCTCAGGGGGGGCAAATGTCTGGATGATTGAAAAGGATAAGGTCCACCCATGCAATGGATAAATTAACAGCTTAAGCATGTAAAGGCAACTTCACTTCTTTAATATTAATGAAAAATAAAGTGACTCTTACAATACATCTTGTTTGTTTCTATACTCACTATTAAAACAAACCACTCAAGTTTATTTTATTAAAGATTCCACTAGGTGGCGACAAATTATATTGTTGGATGAAACGTGCTTACGTATGATGACGTTAGCACGTATGATGACGTAAGCACGTTAGTGCGAGCCCTCCCGGAAGCCATAGAGAATGCATTGGAGCGCCCGCCGTTCGAAAAAAAACATCTTTGAATGTAAGTCTATGGGGCCACTCGGGGCGATTCTCAGCCGGAGTGAAATCGCCCAAAAAGAGGCGGTACTCCACAGAACGTGACATGACGCTGATTGGACTATATCCAGAGGCTGACAGTGACGGCTAGCGTGACTCTGTGGTTGAATGACATTAGTGGTGCGTCGCCCAATCGCCCTAATGAAGAAACCGCCCCTGGTGCCCCGCCCTTTCAAGTGGGAAGAGTTTTCTATTCATGGGCGGTTCGTGGTTGCAGAGATATTGCGATTTCAAATCGGGTCTATTTTTTTAAACACCCTGTATTTACATTCGTACTTTGATCGTGATTGTTTGTCCCAAGGAACTACAGTATAAATAATCGTCAGAGCACTAACTGATGAGAATTCATAGCATAATAAAGTCACTAAAATATGAATTCTATTGTTAAACTATTGAAATTGCTTAACACTTACAATTATGTCTGCCTTGCTGTTTTTCAGGGGAGATTACAGTATTTTATAATTAAATGTTTGATCCAGAACCTGATGCCCATATATTTGGAGTTCGCGTGTTCTCTCTCATCAAGGCGGTCGCGTAAATTTGTATCCAAATCCTCCGGTTTTGCCCTCCACGTTTAGAAGCATGCGTTTGGATTATGTCTGCTGCTATAAATTCGCACACGTGATGATATCAGCCACTTCAATGAGCTATCACCTGTGGCCAGGTCGCCTCTTAAAAAGAGCTAATAACTCAGTGGGATTTAAAGGTAAATACAAAAATCTATACGCAAAGGTTGGAGACACATCAGGTACAAGTTAATCTTTAACACAACTGGGCAAGATGGCAGTTGACTTTTCACCTGGCGAGCCCATTAAGACCAACAAAAACTACTTCTTTGTACGTCAATACTTGCAAATTTTTTATAAAACAAAATTATAGACCGGTGTTGCGGTCGTTAGCGCACTACCCTACGAACCTGAAACCTTACGTTTGATTGCTGGCCATGATGAACACCAGTGGTAAACCAGAATTGGGCCTCTGCAACTTCAACAACCCGCACTCAACACTCAACAGCATGGTGAAGTATAGCAAGGCAACCTTCAATAGTGGCACGGTGTTGTGCAGCCTTAATTCAGCAGTGAATTTACAAAGGGGCTGTGTATTATATTACTGACAAAGGGGCAGATTCAAATCTTGCTGAAACAGATGAAACACAGTCTTGGCAATTTTCAGTTTTCTTTGCAACAAAAATCACATGCAAAGAGACATTGTCAAAACATGCACTTGTGACTGCATCTATTGTGAAATCACCAATTGAAATAAATGCCCATTCAAAAGGCCCACAGTAGTCTCAGATGCCAGGGACATTCAGCTTGCCTTTCCCTGAAACCTGGTTTTCTGAGGCACAGCTGTCAAACATGTTCAATAATCATTATATTGGCTACATGCCCAGACCCCAGAAGTCTTTATAATAAAACAACTGCACTGGGGGCAACTGGCACAATCTGGGGCCCTGTATCACCAGCGCCAGATGAAAGCTTAGCAACAAAGCCAAATACGTATCACCACTGACCCCCTAACACCTGAGAGAACCAAATGAGTCAAGCCTTGGACCCAAGTCAAATTAGGTCGCCGCTGTCACGACCTCAAAAATCCTTCTGACCCTTGAACTTGGTGACCTTGTCAGCCACAATCACCGCAAACAACGTTTTTCCAGCTTACCGGTAAAAATCATAACAAGCCACTTGTTCAATGGCGTAGCTGTTGCAGCATAGCATTTTGGGTATCCCCATCAGGGAATTCAACCATAGAATCCTGCAACATCACAGAATAATCCACCAAAATTTATGATTTATGAGGCGATGCCCTCATAGCCATACACGTGGATGCAAACTCTCGTTTGTGGCCTTGAATGAGTGCATTGTGCAACTTCAGAGACTTAGGAATAATGAGCTTCTTCTCTGGCTTTTGCCACTCGTGCTGAAAGAGATAAATGTGCCAATCCATGGCCAGGGTGTTTAGGAATGCCTGTCCCTGATCAATGGTTGAAACACTTTGCTTTATTATCATTCATAGAGGCATCATTTTAAGAACAAATAATGTGCACCATATCTCCTGTGCTTCTTGCTCCCATCTCTTCACACTGTTACGTGCCTGTCAAGAGCTTCCGAGCCGCCTCCTGAAGACTGATATCCCCACGTAGCCTATAAACTATAATTTTAAAATATATACCAGGTAAGGCCCACTGAGCTGTATAGCTCTTTTACACAATTGACCTGGCTACAAATGATAGTTCAACGAAGTGGCTTATCGTGGAAATATACAGCAGCCAAATATTTAAATGCATGCTTATATATTTGGAGGGAAAATCCAGAGGACCCAGAGAAGAATCCACACGACCACGGGGAGAACATGCAAACTCTAATATACAGGCGTCAGGGTTGGGATCGAACCCACGACCTCTTGTATACAAGGCGAGGTAGTTAACATCCCACCACAATACCTGTAAGCCCCTAAACCTGCATTGGATGAGGAAGATGGCCTTCGTACGGAGTGACTCCCGTTGCGTTATGGGAAGACGACCATCTGCGTTCACTGCACACCTGCACCGCCTATATATTTCCCACACACCATTAACGCATTTGCAGTGGGTGGGTTGTAGCTGGCACTGTGCACCGATTCCATGGCTCACAGCTTGTTCCTATCCAGCAGGGACAATTTACTGCAAGGGTTGCAAGCTTCCTTGTTGTACTGCAGTCCCATGCAGGTTAAGAAATGTAAATTCGCATCAGAAGCAAGCAAGTTGGTGCTGCACTCTAAAAGCCTTTTTTCCACGCTGACCGCCAGCTTGTTTGTGCTACATGCGATGTCCCCACTACGATCCCACGATCGATTCCCGCTCATGGACACCAGTAACGATTATTTGAACCGGTCCTGGGCCACCCTTAAGTCGACAGAGCCTCAAATGAGTACCTGGTACGGTATGTAAACATTACCACGAGGGAGACAAAGTTGGCCAGGCGTGGTGCTGTCCACCCACCCCCTCGTGGGCTGTACTAGCCTTTCATAGGCGCTCGCTAACATCACTTGCCACGACAGTCTCGTTAAGGCTATACTGGGGATCTTTGTCTTTGTGCTCGCCAACCACATGTGAATGAAGCATGGTAGGTGCGACGAAAAGTCAACCCCGGCTTGCGCGGCGCACGTCTCGTGAAGATGATGGGCACCGTGCTGTGGGCACGACTCCTGCTCGCTTGCCATAGCTTCTGTAAAAAAATCCCTGGGGGGCTGAGATCATCAAGTCCAGAAGTTAAAGGCACCGACCGGAAGGTTTCTGGTGTGGAGAGTCAAACGAGTGGCGACGTTGAATCCCATAGATGGCAGGTGTAGCCCACATAATTTAAGATTAATGGAATATTCCAACATTTGCTGAAGAAAAAGAGCCCTGGTATAAGAGACACCACAGAGGTATTTATGCAGTCGTTTTGAAAGGTCCCTCTCACCCAACATGAGACAGCACTATTTCATGATTTACAAGGAATGTTTTGTTACATATAAATCATCCTGTATGTTTTACACATTTTATTCTATTGTGCTAGGTTAGACCAAATTCAGTGAAAAAACTCAAAAAATGTTTTTTTTCAGTCTTTTAATGACCAAATTAAGACTATCCAACTTTGTATACTTGCAAATCAAAGATACTTTTTCAGATTTGAATTTGGGATCGCAATAGTGCTGACTCACAAAGCCAGTGCCCTGATGTATGCACGACACCCCTGATCCACCCCATCACTTCATAAACCATATTTATCAAAATACACAACAGGTCACCCACTGGAAACTGGGCGTAGCCTTGCAGAGCAAAATTAAGTAGAAATGAAAGTGAATAAAACCAATGTTATTTGATATTCAAGGTATAAAACAGCAAATACACATGGTGTCTTTACAGAGTTCTTTATTTACACTGCCAAACTTTTGCAGAGACTATGATATGCCCACCCTCAGTAAATTCTATTTCATATTATTAAATGTACAATACGATTCCACTGTTTAGCTTTAAATGGGATCATCTCCAAATGTCCACGCCTTGCAGCTCTCTGGGCTGCACACAAGCTCTGCAAACACACTGATAGCGAAGTCGTACTCATAACCTCGTACGGGCAACATCAAATACGTCAAGCTTGTCATTCTAAAGATCGGGTAAACGTAAAATGTCCTTCAAGCCGAATGAGCAAAATTGACTGAAACAAACAAAAATAAAACAACCAAAAAAAATGAAATTATTCATTAGCAACTCCAAAATAAATAAAACAATGTATCGTAGGAATTGAACATTCAGAAGGACTCCATAAATGTCTTATATCTCTCAGGCTAAGCAGTTCAGGAAGGTGAGGGGAGGGCGTCTCTTAAAAGTTTCATGATAACTCTTATTCCTTTTTTTACATGGTAACATCAAAAGCCAAGCGTGTGCTCAATCAACGAAGAACTCAACGAAGGTGTAAACAGTAGAAGCTGGAACGGGGGCCGCTGCTCGCTCCTCTCAGATTTTCACTCGTCGTCCGAATCCGACGACTCGGATGATGAGATGTCATTAACGGCAACGAAGTTGCCAGTCGTTTTCTCGACACCTCTGTCCGAACTGCTGCTGCTGCCACTGCTGCTGCTGCTGTCAGAAGAGCTGTCATCACCATCACTGCTGCTACCGCTGCTGCTACTGTTGCTGTTGCTGCTGCTACTACTGTTGCTGCTGCTGCTACTACTGTTGCTGCTACTGCTGCTGTTACTGCTGTCGTCTTCATTGCCTACAATGCCGTGCATGGAGCCAGCATCGAGCAAGCCCACCTCGCCCTCCTCCATCATCATCGCCGCTCGCCTGGCCACTTCACGTGCCCTGGCCGCACGGGCCTCCCTGTTTGCGCGTGACCCTACGCTCTGGCTGTTTGTGTGCACCGATGGCTTCTGCGTCTCCCTGGCAGTGGACGTGCCCAAGCCATCGAGGATGGGGAACAGGGTCGAGTAATGGTGCCCTGAGGAGGAGGTGGCGATGCTCACGCCAGGGACAAGGTAGGGGTTGAATGTCGCGGCGCTGCCACTCGGTGCTGCTGCATTTACAGCAGAGACCGACGTCACTGCCGCTTTTGTCGCCACCTTCTTTCGCCGCTCTTCCTTTGTTCGCAACTTCGACGTCTTCCCACCGGCGCCCCCGGATGCTGCACCTGAACTGTTGACCAGGCCGCGGATTCCCAGCATGCCCGGCAGCAGCATGGCCGGTCGCGAGGCGCCGTGGCCTTTGCTAGACTCGGCGGGCTCCGCAGGCGCTGCCAGCACCCCGGGAGCTGGGAAGCTCACGAGTCCAGCAATCTGCAGACCCTGCAAGCCCTGCAGGCTCGCAAGGTCCAAGCCAGAGAGGAGAGCAGTGGTGGCGGCGGAGGTGGAATTGGCGGAGTGTGGCACCGCAGCCGCACTGTGCCGAGCGTTTGGCGCCGGGCCAGGAGCAGGACCGGGCACGGAGGTTGCCAGTTTCATGGTCTCGCTCTTGGGCCGCCGGCCGCGTCGGCAGGCACCCTCCTCGCGCACCACGGGCCCTGTGAGGATGCGCTCAAACATGCTCTCCGGCAGGAAACCCTGGGAGCACAGAGGGAGAAAGGGAGTGACATTGGCAATGTCATATCACGTCTCAAGTCTTATCCGCAAGTCTGGCCAGGTCATTCTGTGGTTAAGACTCACAAGCGCTTGTGAGAGTTTGAATTCCGTTAAGGTGTTGATTTCTTGGACAGTCATACCTCTGTTGCTGATTTTCTGGCAAATCGTCCTATGATGCTGGATGTAATTACCAGCGAAACGTCGTACTCAAAGTTTGACTTAATATTCTTTGGTTCTTTCGGTAAAGTCACGTAGATAGAAAATAATAAAAAATAAAGTGAATAAAAAGAAAAAATAATAAAAACAAAACCACTAATGGAGACTGTAGCCTGGTTCTTAATCGGAGTGAGTGTACTGGCAGTCTATAATGTAGACTGTACAGTCTATATTAGTGTTTTTTATATTTTTATTCACTTTATTTTCTATCTACGTGACTTTAACGAAAGAACCAAGCAGCACGTCGTACTCAAGTTTGTAAATGTTGTCGATTTACTCTCCAACACACCGGTGGGCTGAAGTAATAACTAATTGGCGTTTTGCTTATGTGACAAATCCCTTGCCAACTGGCTGTGTCGGGTGGTGGAGGGTTACGATTCTTACGCGATCTAACCCAAAAACCTTTATGATGAATTCTGAATAGCTCATCCACACATTAGTAAATATGGGGCAATGGTTTGCTCGACATGCAAGGGAAGTCTTCAGCCGCCTGATGATTTGCAGTGCTTAACGCGAGACGAAATGAGATGAAGTGAGTGAAGCGCGGAGATTTAGATGCCTTTCAGGATTTGTGTGGGTGCTGGACGTACAGACTGCTTTACAATGTCCCCCCAGTCGGGTGAAACAGCAAAGTCCCGGTTTTCTTCCAACCACCGGGGTAGGTCCTTCATCGGGGGAGCCATGGCACCGCCCATCTGCAGACAAGAGAAAGCACAATTACGTCAATGACACGCACGTGGTGCCAACGGGCATTAAAAGCCTGTGTGGAACCTGTCTGCCCTGCTGTGCGTCACGTGCATCTTGCCTGGTCTGCGTCACGCGTGTGCCTTGCCTGATCTGTGTCATGCGAGTCTCGACTGCTGTCTGTCCAGTTGGCTTTGCCTGCTGTGTCACGTGTGATAGGGCTCGTACGTGATAACTGGTGTAATGACTTTTGCGTGTAGCGTGTAGCGTGTGATGGGTGCCGCGCTGTGTGTCAGTGGGCACCTTGCGCCCCGTGCGCTTGTTGACAACGGGCACCCTCTCTTCGCCCGTCAGCGTGTTCACGTCCAGCTTGTTGGGGTTCCGGCAGCGGTGTCGCTTCTGCTTGGGCTTTTGCAAGGGAAAGGGGAGCATCTCGCCCGGTTCCTGGTTGGGGAGGCACAATACGGGAGATGCACGCATTCCAACAGGACGCGAGGGCAAAGTAGAGTCAGTGCGGGATTAGGTAATGCAGACTCAGATGGAAAATCTCACCACTATATTTGCGCTGCTGCTGCTGCTATTTCAACAGTCGTTGCTATTCACGGCTGGTGAATCCCATGCCCATGACACTAGTAAGCATGTGTTCAACTCACTTTGCTTCAACATCCCATCACTGGAGAATTATTGATATAGTTCTTTAGATAATAGACTTATGGTCTGATGGGGATTCAAGACAATAGCCTGACAGATAATTTTACAATGGAATTTTGAGGGCAAAAATTTACTGGCAGATAGGTCTGAAAAGGCCTCGGTACAATAATCAATTATCAACTCGACTCTGACCGAGTATATAGACAATAAAATTACAGAATGGTCTTTGATGGAGTCATCAATTAATAACATACCGACAGACTGGTCTTTGCTGCGGTACTTATAAAAATTGAAAAACTCATCTCTCCCAAAGAAACATGCCGATAAGAAAGCTGGCGCAGCCATTCGAACATTCAATAATCCCCCACGCCCGCTGGGCCGACTGAACACGGCTTTGGCCACCCCACTGTGGCATGACAAGAGTGAGGGGTGAGGCTCACGGGAACGTAGGAGGCCACGACGTTCTGATGGCACGTGGGCTGGGGCGGCCAGTCTCTGAGCTCCGCATTGCGCGGCGCAACGTCCACACGGCCGCAAGCGGATACCCGTCCATCCAGGTCGGCACCGCGGTGTGACTCCATCGCTGGATCAACTGCCGCCTCCTGCGCAGGAGGATATAGAGGTACCCGGGTGCATGCATGAGCACATGGGGCACACAGAGACACACAGGGGTACACGTGGGAACTCGTGGGCATACAAGAGCACATGTTGGCACACATTAGCACACATTGAAATAAGGGCACACAGTGGTATAGGGACATACAGGGGCACACAGCACATAGACAAAGTCACACAGACGCTTAGGGAACACATACTACCCATGTGTTTTAGGCAATACCTAATTTTCAAGAATTGGTCCCTGCCAGAGGTATATGGTTCAGCATTTTACACCGAGCATTGTGAACCATGAAATTCTATTAACTCAAATTGCAATGCTTTTAAATTTCCTGTATGGCAAGAGATTCCTTAACACAGCGAGTAGTTCAATTTTAAAGTTTTGCGCGACAAGTTCTGGCATCTTAGCAAAACATCTGGTATCATGGCGATACCTGTGACACTGGCATACACAGTGCAAATAATGCACGATTCCTCAATGGAATCTTATGCCCTTGATGGTGATGAGGCTCCGTAGGTGCAGGAGCAAACTCCTCTCCTCACCGGTACTGGCGGCTTCCTCTTGGCCAGGAACGACAAGTCCACTCCCTCCACATTCTTCCTGCGGCCGCGGCGTTTCTTGAACGGGGGCGTTCCTCCGCCGGGGTCTGACACGGCCCCGTTGAGTAGCCGCCCGAATGCGTGGGTTGGCTCCCCCGAGGCCTCCGTGTGCAGCACGGCTTCCAGGCGTGCCTGTGGCCCACAAAAGTGTCAACTCACTACTCACTTTGATTAAGCATTGGGTGCCACGGTGGCGAGATGTTAACTATCTCGCCTGGTATACAGGAGGTCAGGGGTTCGATCCTGACCTTGACACTTGTATATTTGGAGTTTGCATGTTCTCCCCGAAGTCGTGTGAATTTTCTCCGGGTCCTCCGGTTTTTCCCTCCACATTTAGAAGCATGCATTTAGAGTATTTGCCTGCTAGAAAGTTCCAAGTCGCTTCTGAAAAAGAGCTATATAGCTCAGTGGGCCTTACCTGGTAAAATAAAAAAGTTTGAGTTTTTAGTTTAGTTTAATTACAAACTTCTCACATCTGGATTTAAAGTACCGTACTTACTGTTGCTTTCGTCCCGTAGCAACGGTGAGACGAAACCTAACAACGCCCCCCCCCCCCCTCATCTCCTCCCCCCACCCCATGCCTCTGCAATGCCGTTTACCTTGAGCTCATCCGCGGACAAGGCGAGCGATGCTGCCGTCTTGGGCGGCGCGACACGTGGCCCCAGCGAGGCGTAGGCTGCATCGCTCCGGTCTGAGCCGGGCTGCACCGTAGCAGCTTTGGCCATTTCCTGGACGGGGGCGGCCGCGCCGGCCGCGAGCGTGAGCGCCTGCCGCTTGGCCGCCCTTTCCGCCTCGATCTCCGCCTTCTTTCGCCGTCGCCGCTTTTGCTTCTGGAAGGTCATCTTGAGACCGCCCTCCTGGGGAGGTTTGCAGCAATTTTGGTAGCGTTAGTGAAGGGGATAAGGCTCTTCAGCATTGTCAGTTCCAACAATAAACCAGCACCGCAGGTTGTGAGCAGGTTTTATACAAGGCAGCCCCATGTTATAGTCTATCATATATCCACATCCCACACGACAGCAAGTAGGAATTTCCAGCAATGGCTCAGGATCTGACACTCGTTTGAGGAAAGGCAAACTCAGAATTGACTGTTGTCTATTAATCAAGGAGAGCCTAACTGAACCTCATGCCTCTTTCACAGGAGGGCCATGTTTGGCCAATTTCATTTTAATGTTTTACAAGTGGGAGTAAATCGAAGAACCCAAGAAAACCCACAAACAAAACAAGATAACAGCTCTAAAGTATAGATAGATCAGTAGCCCAACTGCGCTACTGACATCTCTTGGCCACCATGTAGTCCAGCAGATTGGGTGTCTCACGCAAGCGACTGAATCTGCGTAATCCCGCAACACTACTTTTAAAGCACTGGAATAAATATAAGAGTATGTTTCTTTGTGCCAGGACACATCTGTGAACCACGAGTAGATATGAAATAAACCAAATTGTTATTTTAAAGACATTGATTGCAGTGACAAAATAATCATAAAAACACTAAATGAAAACATAAAAGCAAGGGCTGATGATGAAGCAAGCAGTATGGCATGGAGACTGAGCAACCATCGGAACATCTCACAGTGAGGACTTAATTGGGCATTGTTTAGCCTCAATCACAATCCATTTTACCAAAATCACTAGCCCAGACACCGTAATTAGTCTGACCGTTTGATCCAGTTGGATGCAATGTGAACACCCTACATGAATCTTCAATTATCCCATTGTTTGTAAAAAACACAGTGGACGTGTGGGTTCTGGGCTGGTGTATTTGGGTCACCCACAAGGAACGCAGGTCAAATGTTCTTCTATCTTATAATGCATACGCAATATAAATTGACCCTTGGTAAGGTGGCGCTGTGCTCGTGTTTACACAATGATGTCATGCAGAAGCAGTTTATAGTGAAAGGTCACAGCCAACACATAGGCAGCAGGAACCACGAGGGGAAACAAAAATATAAGTGCAAGAGTAATATCAGCCACAAATGCATTGTTGTTTGTTTCACTTTCACTTTCCATTTAAAAAGTATAAATGAAAAAAAAAACAACACCGTAATACATGATGATGCACAAATACATTAGTGACTATGCATCGTTTTCTGTTCAGAGAAACTGAACGTACGGTGACAATTTTCACTGTAAACTGCTTCTCCTCTTGGCTGTTGCCCTGCACCTGATCCAGGCCCTGCAGAGAGAGGGACACAGAGAAAGCCCCGGCGGATAGGGGCGGGAGCGTAGTGGCGGCGGCGACGGCGGTGGTCGCGGCAGCGGTTGTGGCGGTGGCGACGCTGACGCCAGTGGTGATGATGGTGATGGTGGAACGGCAGTGTCCGGGACACCGACTGGGGCTCCGCTGCGGGCGTTGCTGCCGCTGTAACAACCGCTGCGGCCGCTGCGGGAGCGGTGGTGGCTGAGACGGTGGCGGTGGCGACTGTGGTGACAGTGGTGGCGGTGGTGCCGCTGGCGGATACCGTCACCCCCATGGCACTGGCCAAGCTGTATAGCTCGTAGTGTGGCCGCCGCCGACTGGGCCACTTGCCCTTGAGCACGGCGTGGCAAATGAGGTCCACGCGGTTGATTATGATGCGGTCCTGGCCGGTTTGGTGCGAGGGAGGAGAGAGTGCGGGGAAGGTAAGGGTGTTACGAGTGCAACAGTTAGATGCGAATGCGGCTGGGTGACGCAACCATCAATTATTAACAAACAACAAAAACGGAACTAATTTGTGGGGAAAAAACAGTGGTCGTCTAAGACATTGTTCAGCGCCTATCAAAGAAAGTGGCTTAGGGATGTAACAAAAAAGTGAAACGCTCAATGCTTGCATGAGTAGGGATTAACTGACTCTTGAACAAAAAAACTGTTTGGTACAACTCTTGCTTACTGATCACAAAGTTTGCAAAAAGTAGTTGACCCAGTCTAAGCAGAGCTTTTTAACTGTCGTGAAATAGTTATATATTTAATATTACAAACTGAAAAACATTAGGACAATATTACCATGAGTTAGGAGAGGTGGTAGAAGCACTCACGGTGATGAATGTAAACCTTTATAATTACGTTGAGAACACAATGTGAAGATGTCTTTAGCAAAATAAATGTGACCAAAAGTATAAGTGCAAAAGTATCAAGAAAAACATTTGAACACTGAATGCTCATAATATTAGTTGCCATCATCGTCATTGCAAATTACTCCACCGAGTCTAGGAGTAATAGTACCACGGCTGCTTATACTACAATTAAAAAATATATTATACTGCTCCCTTAATCAAAACACCACATAGCTCTGTACGTGTGAAACGTTCAAAATACTATACAAATCTAAATTAGGAAACAAAAAATGATGTCCAAGACACTCAATTAGGGTGAACAGATTGCACCAAGGCATTGGCCTAGTGCTCCAAGTGCGGTGAGTTTTCAGTCCTGACTTACAAACATCGACTCTGTCCTAGTCACAGATATGGCTGGAGGGGGTGGGCATTCCACACGTGGAAACAATCAAACTACCAGAGTAGGTCTACCCTCGGCAGTGCATGTCAATCGTGTGGGAGGATCTGCGGTGCATCTGAGCTGCTGACCTTTGGCCAGTGTGGAGAAGCACGAGGACGCTCAGATGTGGGTGCAGCGACCGCAGCTGCAACAGAAGCCGCAACAGAATTGGCAACAGGAGCAGCACTGCCGCCGACTTCTCCGTCTCCCGTCACCTCTGCCTCAGTTGTAGCAACCAGCGCCTCGCTGCTCCCACCTAATGTCCCCTCTTCCACGCTCTGCATGCTCCCATCGCAGCTGGTGCCGGCCACAGCAGCCCCCATCACCATCTCCACCCCGTGGCTCTGGCTGCCGCAGCCTGGCCCTGCCGCATCTTGGCAGCTGTGGCAGGGCGAGCTGCTGCCGCTAACGCCGTAAAGGCAGAGGGCAGCACCGATCTCTCGATCCATCACGGCGCACAGCGCGGAGGGAGCGCCATCTCCAGCGTCAAGAGAGGTACGCGACGCACCGTCCCCGAGGTCAATCTTCAGCGCGAGCGCCGTCGCCTCCATGGCCGACCCCCCCACGACCGCCGCCTCCTCCTTCTGCTGGTCCTGTGGCTGTTGCACGTCCGCGGCGCACTCCTTCTTGAGTTCAGCAGCCTTCAGCAGGCCATCCTTGCCTGCGTATAAGTCCTTGCAGTAGTCTTTGAGCTGCCTGTGGAATGCGTCCGGGTCGACTGCAAGAGGGAGGAACAAGTGCAAGAATGAGTAGACGAAGGCAGAGGGAGGCAATTACCCCTTCTGGTGGCAATATTACATTTTAATGCCTTTACCAGGCAGTACACTGCAAATTGTCTTCGACTACTGGTAGTAGTTGAACCTGTATGAGCATGTGTCTCCATGTCTGAATAGATATTAAGGTATTAAGATGCACTGGTCTCATTGGTGGTCCTGGGCCAGTTAAGGAAATTGCGTGCTCTGATGGTATGGACTAGGCCAGACAACTGTTTATCTTCCCATACAATGGTGCGAATCGATGGATGATGACGATGATGGATTTTGTTTTACCCCAACTGGGATTTAAATTCATGAGTGAGATTCTGGTACAGCACTATATGGACAATTTAGATGTAATAATGTATTTACTTAACCAAGAGAAAGCCCAATGATATCTCAAGTATGTTTTATATAAAAGACAGGATATTGTGATGGCCAGCTAAAATAATTAATAAGTTTTGGTTTGAAGCTTTAATCGAATCCTTATTTAAACTGTACTGATATTTCATAACATTTTATAAGATATATGTAGACATACATTTGGGGCTACCTTAATTTCTCAAGCACTCAAGAGCCACAGTCTAAAACTCAACGTTGTGATATATTTTAAGTTGCAAACCACTACTCATATCCAGCAATGGTGGAAAAGGAGAAGTGTTTGGCAAAGGTGTCAAACAACAAGAGCCAAAATCACATTCTGGAGGAAGCTGCTTTAAAAAAAGAAATTGGCAAAGAGAAAAACCCACATCTAATGAGTAGAAAACACGAGGCCACTTGGCGGCTGTTTCTTTAAAACGATGGCTGAAGCCGCTTTTCCACCAACACAAACAACGCCACAGGTCCTCGTTCGCAAACTTACGTTTCACGTCGTCTTCACATTTTAGCCTCGCCGCCTTCTTCTCCTCCCCATCCTCCTCCTTCTTGACCTTGCCGGGCTCCACGGTTTCCCAATCGTCCGCCTCGACCTTCGTCACCACCGCCGCCCCCTCCTCCCCGGGCTCAGCCTTGACGCCGCCGTTCCCCCGGCCGGCGCACGGCGACCCTTCCTCCTTGACGGAGGCGGGCGACGCGGGAGAAGCGGGGCTCTCCGGCTCCGACTTGAGGATCTTTTCTCCGAGCTCGGCCACGTCCCACGACTCGGTCTTGAGGCACAGGTCGGGCAGCTGCAGCTTGCACAAGATGTCGTGCGCCGCCACCACCCCGCGAAGGGGCGCCTCCAGCGCCGCCACCGTATCCTCCAGCGCCTCCTGCTTGAACGGCGAGTCCCGGGAGTCTTTGGCGGCGGCGGCCGCGGCGGCAACAACGGAATCCGAGGAAAGCGAGGGTCCCCGCGAGAGCGAGAGCCGTGGGAAGGCGTCCCCCGTCAGGCCCAGCAGGGGGCTGGGGGGCAGCTCGGCGGAGCCCTGCGACGAGGGGCTCGCGGCGCCGCCCAGCAGCTCCTGCATGGGGTTGAGCAGGAGGTCGGGCTCGTCGGGCTCGCGCGGCGTGCTGCAGCGCGTCGTGGCGCCCGACAGCGGCGTCGTGGAGCTGCGCGACGCCGCGCCGGGGCAGCCCGGTGGCGTCGAAGGCCGGGAGTCGACGCCGAGGCAGAGGGGCGCGGGGAGGCGGGCGTCCGCCTCGAAGGGCGGTGGTAGAGGCGGCGGAGGCGATGCGCGGGAGAGCTGCGCGCACGCCTGCACGCGGCACGCGGGGGACAAACGGGGCCACGGCTCAGGCGTGGCTCCTCACGCAAACCAGCTCCGCCGGGCAGTTGTCGGAGCCAGAATATTTATTCATACTGGAGGAATCCGATGAGCTATAAAGCATTTTTTTTACAGATGTCTATTAGGGCCGGGTCAGAATGTGTCAACAACAAAAAAACAACACAATAGGAGTGCAAAGTATTGGAAAGTTAAAAACTCGACATCCTAGCCTACTATCTGTTTTTGCATTACGTGAATCATAATCAGAAGGATGTGAGCTTAAGCCAACAAATCAACTGAAGCATCGCTGTGGGAAGTCAACAGTGGATGTCCTGTTCCCAGATGCAGGCAAGTGCTATATATATCTACCGCTGGCTCTGGGCTATCGGAGCAAATAAGCAACAACCCTCCACATTAATTTGAGCAGCTAAGACAATGTGACGTTTGATTATATTACTATTTAAGTAAAAAAATACATGAAGCTCCAGTTTAAGAAATGTATAATCTATGGATTTAGACTGTTGTATTGAATGCAATTAATTTTCTAAATATAGCTAAAACAATAAAATCTAGGAGCAAACTCGATCACAGAAAACACTATAACCTTCACTCTGGAGAAAGTAACAGAAGCAGACATTTTTCCAGCACATTTGCACCCTCTGACAATATCGCCGTAGCACTGCGACGGTTGGGGCGGCACCTCGAGCTGAGAGGACAGCAGGGGTGTGCCGTCCACATCGGGGAAGTGAAGACCGGTCCGGGAGGCGGCCGCGGCGACGGTAGTGGCCGCGTTTCCGTCGGTGCCGTCGAGGAGGAGGTCCGGACTCGCCCCGTGCGTACCGACGTCGCCCACGCCCCTCGACCCTGCCGTCGTCACCGCTGTCGTCATACATTCGTGCTGCATCCGCAGGAAGGAGAACTCGGGGTCGTTGAGCATGTGGTAGTCGGTGCGGCTGACGCCGTGCTTGGCGGCCGAGAGGAGCAGCTCGCGGTCGTGCGCGCCGCACTGCCACCAGCTGGGCAGTTCCACCGACGGCTGGCACAAGCGCAGTCGCTCCGTCAGGTGCGGGTGGCGCAGCACCTGCTGGCGCACCTTGCGCAGCAACTCGATGCGGTAGAGCGTGCGCGAGGCGCGCTCCTCCGTGATGGGCTCCACCAGCAGACCTGGCTCCAGCGGGTCTGTGACAGCATGCACGCACGCGCGCCGCAAAGCGTCACCACGTTAAGCCCATGTTAAAATGCTGCTGCATAGATTAGGGTTTGGCAACCTGCAGATTTGCAGCCTCGTGCGGCTCTTTAAGGACTGCTTTGTGACGTTATTTACTAAGGATTATCGTCTCGCATTCACACGTATTGCGGCTCTTGAAATTATACGTTTTTTTAACCGAATAAAGAAAAAAAATCTTGTTATTTTGGGTGCGAACCCCTGGCATAGGTCATCGTGGTCATACTGTCCAACTCCCCGTTGTGTTTTCGGGTTGTAATGCATGCTGTTCGGCAAGATGTCTGACTTCTCGCTTCACCTGCTGCTGGAAGCTTTTGAGGAAATTAAGTGAAAAGTCGGACATGATGCCGAACAACACCCGGCATAAACAGAGCACACATTGGAGAGCTCAAAGCTGCAACAATATTAATTTGATTTATATTGCGCTTTTCATTAAGGATCTCAAAGCGCTGCAAAGGACACAGCAGCAGCAGGTACTCAGCATAAAAACAATATTATAAATAAATGTTAAGAATCATTTACGAAACTAACTAAAAGTTTAAGAATTGGAAGTGTGTAAATAGGTCCATCATAGCAATGTGCAATGTGCTTGCCATGATGGAGTAATTTCATTACAGGAGTTTTTATACCATGTAATGGCAAGGAACTGTTTAATAAATAAGAACAATAATTTTCCTTTTATACGTTGGTTATTTTATAAAAATGTTAAATTTTTTTCCTTTTTTATTTTTCTAAAATATATATTTTTTAGTTTGTAGGTCGGTGAGTATCCTTGCCCGCCTACATCTGCTGGGATCAGGTGAGATCTTTGGGCCAGCTGTCTATGCAAGCTGGGAGGGCAAGGGTCAGACGCCCACTGCCTCTGATTTGTTAATGATTAAAGGCATGGCCAGTTCATGAGAAAAGGCTGCAGTGCTACATATAGACCGTCGTGGAATATACTAAGAATTCTGTAGAGTTAAATGCAGGCAATTTTCACTGTTGTTCAGTTTCAGGTTTAAATTTGTTGTCCCAGAGTGACCAGCATCCGTATTTTAGATTGACTGCTGGTTATGCAAAACGTTAATACAATCTAACCAATGGTGGAACGCCTCCACTGGCAGTTTGCGGCTTGTGCAGAGACGTAATCAACAACTGCTGCTTACATTTGTATTTATAACAGCATCTAAATGCAACCGTCTATGAAATTGTTTTACAAATGGTGAAAAACGCACGAGGTGGAAGTTGGGCGAGACCGTCAAGGCAAGGTCGTACGCTAGAGAGGAGGGCACTGATATGATCGCAACCGGCAACACGTGTGGATTTGTTTGAACACGCTTCAATCGGTAATGTGAGGGGTCTGTGGTAACCTCGGTGACGAGGCTGATATTTATTCTTCTCTGCAGTGGCGGTTGCTGCAATGGGGAATAATAAATGCCAAGAGTAATTGATGGGACCGACACGGGCGCTGTCATTGTGCCTGTATGGCAGTGGCGTTGCTGCTAGTGAAGCCGATCCACCCAAGGTCTGCAAAGCGCCGCCTCTCGACCACGTCCATCCGCATTGTGCGAGTCTACGTGCGTGCAGAACGGCTGTCAACGGCAACAGAGGGTGCCGCGGTGGTGAGATGTTAACTGCCTCGCCTGGTGTACAGGAGGTTGTGGGTTCGATCGCGACCCTGACGCCTGCTGCATATTTGGAGTTTGCATGTTCTCCCCGTAGTCTTGTGGATTTTTCTCCGGGTCCTCCGGTTTTTCTCACCACATTGAGAAACATGCGTTTAGAGTATTTGGCTGCTATAAATTACCACTTGATAAGGCATTTTGTTGAGCGATCGTTTGTGACTAGGTCACTCCTGAAAAAGAGCTAAATAGCTCAGTGGGCCTTACCTGGTAAAATAAAAGGTTGGTTATAGTTAGCCGACTAATTCAATCCTTGCATTCATTTATAAACTACCAAACACACTTGCTTCATATGTTCATGATTCTAAAAATATTTTTCCTGTTGTGCCGAATACCATACATCGCAAAAGCCTACGTGTTAAACAAACCAGGAGTTATAACGTATTGATGTTTTTTGCTGTGGGACAACCGATTGTTATACTGGTAGTAACCTCCTGGTTTCACCAACCCACAGGGGATTATTCTGTCCGTCTGGCCGTTGCGCATCCAAAAATGGGAGGGGTGGGGCTGGCTGGAGAGGGGAGGGTGGGGAGGGGCTGGGTGGGGAGGGAGGGGCTGGGTGGGGAGGGGAGGGTGGGGAGGGGCTGGGTGGGGAGAATGGGGCTGGGTGGGGAGGGGAGGGTGGGGAGGGGCTGGGTGGGGAGGGGCTGGGTGGGGAGGGTGGGGAGGGGCTGGGTGGGGAGGGTGGGGCTGGGTGGGGGCGGGGCTGGGTGGGGAGGGGCTGGTCACCCCGTGGTGCCCTTATAAAACTCAACGTTTAACCTACTCAAGCCGGCTTGTGCCCGCCCTCACAGTTGGGAATATTTGCGGAATACACCACGCCGCCGTTGACCCTGGCCATTGACCGAGCAACCCAACGTTACTACCAGCTCCCTCCGCAGGAATGTGTTAGACAGGTCTCTCTTGGGAAACATTAACTTGATAAAAATGCAAGCCCTCAGGATAAATATTTGACCATCTCCATTTGAATACCACATAATGTAAGAATATAATTCAAAAAGTTTAGTTCTCATACAGTCACCCGTAACATTACTGACTTGTTACCTATGGAGGGGGGCGTCAAAACAAATGTGAACATTTAAGTCAGCGTTTGTCTTCACAACCTAATTTAGTGTTCCAACCTGAAAACGTTTAAACAATTCTAATTTCCTAAAAGTAAAGTCACTGGACGTGTACAGCCTGCAGTTTAAGCCAGCACGACACCAGCAACACTGATAATGAGGCACGGTGAGATCGATTAAAGGAAGCTGCTTTAAAATAAACTGGGCTGCATGGCCACTGGGTGGAGGAATACCAAGGAAAAGCAGCCAGCTGCTGCTGCTGCAAAGGATGTGCAATGCTCCCCACGAACAAACAAAACACATCAGCGCACCGGGCAAATCAGCAGAGGCCGCCTCAGCACGAAGCCACAGCCGTAACACGAAAGGGCAGCGGCCGCAAATCTCGTTAACGAAGGAGCGGCTGCCACCGAGTGCTATCGAACGCAAAATGCCAATAAGGCCCTGTTAAATCAAACGGGCGTGCAGCCAACGCCGTAATTGAACACAACACGCAGCTGAAGGCTGTTAACCAGGGCGGTAAAAACGTCAGCCAGTGCACCCCCTCCACCACCCCACCTCACCTCACGCCGCTCGTTGGAACCAACGGGAGAGCCGGCGGCGCCACCCACCTTCTGTGTCGGAGGGCGGCAGGCGGCAGACCTTGCGGCACATGGCCACGAAGGCCTGAAAGTAACGCGTGAGGCTGTCGTCCGTCTTCTTGTCGAGGCGCGCGAACGAGCGGAAGCGGGTCCAGTCGAAGCGCCGCCGCTGGGGGTCGAACTCGACGCCGAAAGTGGAGACGACGCGGTAGAAGTCGGCCTCCTCCCGCCGTGTCCACCTGAGGACAACGGGGGCACGTGTCCGCAGGAGGAAAAGGGGTCGCGTGTGGTTAGAAAATAATACGTCAGAAACGCGAGGGACTAGTCGGTGGCTCGCGGATAAGTCGTTCACTTGTGGACCATTCAGTCGCCTTTGAGCAAGTTACTCACTTAAGCATGAGTCGCTGTGTTGAGGATGAGTCACTAGGTTGAGGATGAGTCACTAGGTTGAGAATGAGTCAGCCACCCAAAGGTAAAAGTGGGACATAAGTGAGCCGGTAAACTGTGGAGTGCAGTTAGTTCCTTGTGGACAAGGCTGGTCACTTAAACACAACTTGTGAACAAGCCAGTCATGTACACATTAAAACATCTCTTACCCGGAAGTCAACTGTGAATATGTAAATTACCCACAAATTATTAAGACACTGACAAATCAGTCAGTCACCCACAAATCAGCGAGTCACCTAAAAGAGATCCAGTCACGAAGGGGAGAGCCAGAAATGGACCACCGCATGAAACCCTCTTCACGGATAGACCCCGACCGACGGACCGACGGCACAAACCTCTGGCGCTTCTCGAGGCGGGCGAACTCACGCGCCCTGAAAGCCTCCTCGCGCTGTGCAGCGTCGCCACTGCCCCACACCAGCCCCGAGTCGCCGGCGCCCTGCAGCGCACCGCCCAGCGCACCTCGCACACCCTCGCCCTGCTGCTGCAGCTGCTGCTGCGGCTGCTGCTGTTGTTGATGTTGCAGCTGCTGTTGTTGATGATGAAGATGCTGCTGTAGCTGTTGCAGCTGTAGCTGCTGCAGCTGCTGCTGCTGCACAGGTGGTCCCTGCGTGAGCGACGGCGACGCCGCCGCCGACGCCACCCCCGCGACCACCGGCAGAGCGGTGACCGAGGCGGCGGTGGAGCCGTGTCTGAGGGAGGGCGAGAGGCCATGAAGGCCATGCGACTCCAAACTGCCGCCGGGGAACGGCGACTCAAAGGGGCTGCAGGCGGCGGTGGCGGGCGGCGCCGCCTGCAGCGTCAGCTCGTCGTTGCGGCGACGGCGGCGGCGGCGCTGCCCCACCAGGCCTCCCCGCGCCTGCGCCTCCAGCCGCTGCTGCTGCTGCTTGTAGCAGCGCTGGTAGGTGGTCACCAGGCGCCGCAGGCGGGCGGTGAGCGCCGACGCCGAGGGCCAGTACAGCTTGCCCATCTCGACGGCGCCGGAGCCGCCGACGCCGTGAGGGTCTTGAGGGACGGACAGAGTGGCGGCGCGGTCAGCGGCTGCGGAGGGTAAACGCTCGCGACACTTCGCACGATTTCTTTGCTGCCGGGTTCACGTGACGGCAAATTGAGATGCGATGTCCGGATTGGTACGTTACATTTTTTTTTAAGCGACACAGTTATTCTTTGCCATATGCTTACTGGACAGATGGAGTACAATTGGTAAAAATCAATTTGTGCAAACTTTCATGAACAAATTGCTGCCCTGAATTCTAGGAGACAAAATGTCATTATCCGAGGAAGGAATTTAATTCTCAAGTGGTTTTCATCAAACATACCCAGGTAAGGTTGTAATAATCATCAAAGCATTTACAAAGCACTTAAAATAACCTCAGAATCTTATGGCACCTTACATCACATCTCATCTCAACCGTACAAAAGGGAACCCCTCCTGGCAGCTGTCCCTATGCAGCACGACTCAGTAGGATGTGACGATTGCAATGTGTAATCACAAAATGAGTAATTTGCAGGTAACAAATTTGGCAAATTCAGACAATGACACCATCACACGGTGGCCTTACTCTTTTCAATAAAGGTCGCAGGTGGTGGATGTAAACACAGGTCTTCCCTCCTCTACTCCTCTACGGATGTCTTCCTCATTATGTGTTGTAAGCCAAAGCCATTAGTGCATGACCAAAGGCTCCTGGCTAATTGACGGCGATAAGCCAGGGGTGGACGAGCGGGTGTACTAAGTGATTTTAGGACATAGTAGTAGGTTTTTACCCTTTCAACTGGTACAAAAACTGACACCTTTATACAAGGGATCATGTTTGCAATAACCACAACACTAGCAGTCAAAAAATGCAAACAAAAAGAAACAACTCTGATAATGATGATATGCACTGTCCTTGAAGTTGATTGGCCCACACCAGAGACAGCTTTGCTTAGAGCCTAGTCTCCATTGGTGTTGAACCAATGACGCCAAAAGGCGTACAACTCAAAGACAGCGCACTATCAGAGTATTGAGAGCTCGGGGAAAGCATTTACACTATGAGACCTCCTTTACCAGTGGCAAAATATAGTAATAGGTTTTTACTCTTCAGGCCACTTCAAGTAAACAAAATTGCACCAGACTAAATTGCAGCTCCAAGCCATGGGCACGGCAGTGCATAATTGATCTAGTCTCCAAAATAAACAAATCAATAATAAAAATAAACAATTCTGACATGCAAGCTTTGATCAATATATAAAATCCGCACTGAAGCAATGAGAGCCTCAATTTATACATACAATGACCAGATCGTGCTGTGCAAGAATGCAAAAAGTATGTTTCACTGTTCATCACGGAAGCATTGATGTTGAACGGATCAAAGGATCCTCAGGCTTCTATTGAATTTTCACATTTCTTACCTTCAGAAATGTCAATCTGTAAACTCCCTGGAGACATTGAATCATCCTGTCAAGATAATAAAAAAAAGACATTATCCACCATTCCTCAGCATTCAGTCCCATGGCACATGCACTTTACGTTTAAAGCAAAAGTGATGAAGACATTTTTTGGAAATTTTAAACGGCTGGATGACTCGGGTGGCTCCTAATGCCAGAGCACTGACACAGCAATGCTGAGATCTGGTGTTCAAATGTGGGCCGCCACTTGTGATTAAAACCAAGTTCTTATTTTCATCGCAAGTTTGATGGTCTCTGCTCCGATCATCAACAACCGCACACGACATTGTTCTATAAATATGGTTTTGAGCTTAATTTGGCCCAATTATCGCTTGAGGTGAACGATGCAGCAATGACCATTGTTTAAGCAAGATAGGCTTTTTTTTTAAGTTACTCCAGAAATAGCTCTGTGCAGTCACCTTCTACGATCATTCCATGACATAGTGTGAGGTTCTGCAGAATAAATGAGTCTTCGTAAGGTGCTTCTCACTCTCAAGACTTAACTCTGGCAAGCAATACTGGGATATACAGTAATTAGTGGTAAAATGCACAAGAACACTAAAACAACATAAATATGGAGAACTGGAATATGTTCATTTACAATGACAAATGTACGCTTGAAGAGAGTGCCTATCGTATGAATGTGAATTTCTGCTACACGCAGACCACTCGAGTCCAAGGGCTGGAGAAATTAACACACACCTCAAGGTCCATGTCGTTCTTGAAAATGGTACGGCCAGGCTTGTACTCAGGATCTTCAAACTCTTCGGTGGCAAATTCCGGACTAGTATGAGAATGAATAAGGGAAAGGGATACGTTATTCTTACTGATAAAAACACACGATGCTCATGAAACAAGCTTGAATGCACATACGCAGACAAAGACCGTTCATTAACTCATACAGGCTATGGAGCAAGTGCTAGAATGCAACGTGGAACTTTTAGTCTCGCTTCACTTTGAGGCCAGGTGGAACAATCAATGGTCGCTGGCTGCAGTTTAGGGGTAATACCAAAACAAAGATCCCCCGTATAGCCTAAACAGACTGCACGGGCAAGTGCTGTTATCGAGCACCTATGAAGGCCGGCACGGCACACGAGGGGGTGGGTGGTCAGCACCACATCCTTTTGTCTCCCCAATGGCGATATTGACACACTTGCAACAGGTACTCATTTGAGGCAGTCAACCTAGAGGAGGTCTAGGGCCGGATCAGATAATCGTCACTGGCGTTGGTGGCCGTGAGCAGAAATCGAACTCGGGTCGCCGTTTCGTAGCGCAGCGTGCTAGCTGCTACACTAACACTCCTCATTAAGGGAAATACCAAAGACAAAGATCCCCCGTATAGCCTTAGCAGACTGTTGGGGTGTGGTGCTAGCCACCCACCTATGAAGGCCAGCACGGCACACGATGGGGTGGGTGGCCAACACCATGCCCGGCCGCCTTTGTGTCCCTAGTGGCGATGTGTACGCACGGCACTAGGTACTAATTTAAGACTTGAGTCGACCTAGGGGAGACCCAGAACAAGTTCAGAAATCACTTGCCACTGGATGTTTGCCACGGCAAGAAATGAAAACGAGGTTGCCGGGTTCGTAGCATCCATTTAGTACGTACGCATGGGGGGGGGTTGAAGCCTCGATAATAATAATTTGTCTACATTGGCCTTCAAATGAGCCACATTTCAGTTTCTTCAGCTGTCGGACAAGTACTACCGGGAGAAGTAGGACTGTGGGAGAGGTGTCACTTGTATGCCACCGTACCCCTGACTGCTAGCTATGACGCAGCTCAGCAGTGAGTCGTGCTGCTGCTGCTGCTGCCGCCCGGTCTTCAGATCAGTCTACTGTTACAGCAGATGTTCAGTCGACGCACTTTTATAGAGACTAGTTCACCGAGTTTTAATTGTGTTTTAAGATCATAATAGACGTGTTTTTGAATAACCAGTCGGGATGGATAACACGGTCAAGTACAGCTGTTTGTACAAAGCTGTGTGTAAAGCTAGGCCAGCGTTTGAACCTAGCGGATACTAGACAAACTTTTTAAAGGGACGCAACTTAATTCTTTAATGCAGCCGGCGGTGTAAAATCTGTTTGCTTAAACACGTTAATATTATTAATCCTTTATTGTTTCTGCGTGGATTATACATCGGCCGTTCTATAGGATTCGTCAAGCGTATGTACGCAGGTGGGGGGGGGGGGGGGGGGTGTAAAAAGCCCGCGTGCCTACAAGGAGGGGTCAAATTTTGACAGATTGTTGCATACGTACTAAATGGATGACCCCTAAGTGCTATGCCACCACTCCTCCTCACAAGCACACATGCGCATCTTTGGACTGAACCCATGTGAGCTCGGGTCCTGCGTGGGAGCCCAGAGCTGATGACTGCTCACCCGTCAGCAAGGAAGTCGTAGTTCCGCTGCTCGGCGGCGATTGCCATCTGGTCAGGCATGCCCACGCGCTCCAGAAAGCACAGCGCTGGGTCCGCTCGCATCGAGTTGTACTTCTCGTAGCCTGCAGACGAGAGACGGCACACGTTTTAGACTGCCACGAACGCCATGCAAGTGCACTGCATACATTATAAGGTGGCACTCATTACACACAAAGTGCTTGCCACAAATGAACCACAATACGATACCTTGCTGATTTCGTCAAAGAGCATAAACCATCACGTGAACTCTGGTCATCCTCGCAGCTGCTTTTGGGAAACCATCGAACAAAGACGGAAGGCGCACTTTCAGATGTGCTTCTGCGGCCGTCTGGAACGCTCTTTGTTCCGCGATATTTGGAAGCCACTGGAGCTATGCACTTTTAAATCTAGATTGGAAACGAATTTCTTTAGAACTGCTTTTTGCGTTTAATTTGTGTATTCATTTTCTGGGTTGCAAAGTGTGTGCTAGGTTAGGTTAAGTGTGATGGCTTGTAGTTAATCTGTATATGTGTGTGTACTGGGTTGTAGTGTGTGAGTGTGACTGGATGGTGTATGTGTGTGAGACTGGATTATGTGTGCTAGGTCGACTCAGCCTCAAATAAGTAGCTGGCGTGGTGCATAAAAATACCGCTACTCGGGAGACAAAGGTGGCCGGCAGTGGTGCTGGCCACCCACACCCCTCGTGTGCTGTTCTGGCCTTCATAGAGGTGCTCGCTAACAGCACTTGCCCCAACAGTCTGTTCAGGCTATACTAAGGGGGATCTTTGTCTCTTGTTTACGAGTGCTAGTGGGGAGCGGTGGCGTAGAGGTTCGTGCGCTGAGCTACGGACCCAGCAACCCGAATTCGATTCCCGCTCATGGCAAACACCAGTGACGATTACCTGAACTGGTTATGGGCCTCCCCTGGGTAGACTCAGCCTAAAATGAGTACCTGGTGTAAACATCCCCACCGGGGTGGCAAGTGCGGAAGGGTGTGGTGCTAGCCACCCCACCTCCTCGTGTGCCGTTCTGGCCTTTATACGTGCTACTCGCTAACAGCACTTGCCTCGACAGTCTATTAAGGCTATGGCGGCGGCGGGGAGGGGGGGGATTTTTGTCTGTGTGCTAGGGAGTGCTGCGAGTTGCAGGGTGTTTACTCCGTGGCTGAGTGATTGTGTGTGAACCGCGCCGCAGCCGCCGCACCGTGCTTGCAGACCCCGATGAGCAGCGACTTGTCGGCGTCGGCGTCCCACCACGACACCGGCTGCTCCCCAGCCTCCGCCTCCGGGAGCCAGATGTCAATCTCGCTGCACACAGCAGTGCCATGGCGTGCCCAGAATGACGCGTTAACAATCCAGCTGTACTCTCCATCGCAATGCACCATCTAAACCAATGTGCCGTCCCCATCCCAGTGTACCGTCCACCCCAGTTTATTATCTACTCCAGTTTAACATCCAACCCATTGTACCATCCATCCTAGTTGACCATCCTTCCATGTGGACTATTGCTCTCTGTTTGCTGCTGTGGCAATGTCTTTTGCCAGTCCATGATTCCATCAGTATTTTCAAAGAAGAAAAGCCCAAGCCAAGCAAACTAAAATAATTTTGCACGTAAGTGATCCCTACGCTCATATTTAGAGCATTTGGCTGTTATACATCTCCTCGTGATAAGCTGCATCATTGAGCTAGAATTTGTGGCCAGGTTGCTTCAGAAAAAGAGGTATAAACATTTCAACATGCACAATGTCATGCTCCATATGTTCAAGTGACAAGAATACCCCTTAGCCTTAAACATGTTCAGAGCAAGTTCTCTTATCGACTTCAAGCTAACATACGACTCTTATTAATATAAACGTAGACGCACAAACACCCATACACCGTGGGTGGTGGCTGCAAACAAACAGAAACGTACCTGGCATCGACGCCTTCAAACACGCGGTCCGCATTGTCCCCGATCACTTCCTGCCTCAAGTAGTAGAGCATGCGCACGCGCAGCAGAACCCTGCAGGGCAGCGTCAGAGCACAGGGGACAGCAACCACAGCTCACAGCTCTGCTCAATGACACTGCAGCAGTGCACGGAGGCCTCTTAGCACACCCTGGTCCCCTGCACCCACACTCAGCCCAGCCTCCATGCCTACCGAGGTTGGCGAAATGTTAACTATTCTAGATTTGAAGTTTTCGTGACTGCAAGGATCCATACGCTTTGGTTCTTTCGGTAAAGTCACGTAACTTTACCGAAAGACTTTACCCAAAGAACCAAAGATTTTACCGAAAGAACCAAAGAGTAGAGATGGTAACTACCTCGCCTGGTGTGCAGGAGGCCGTGTGTTCGATCCTGACCCTTACACCTTTTGCATAGTTGGAGTTTGCATGTCTCTCTCCCTGTGGTCAAGTGGACTGGTATTTGGCTACTGTACATTTCCACGTGATAAGCCACTTCGTTGAGCGATCATTTGTGGCCAGGTAGCTTCTGAAAGAGAGCTATATGAGCTCAGCGGGACTTATCGGGTAAAATACATTTTTTTTGGTAGTTTTGTTTACCAAAGATGTTGCTTGAGATGATTGTTAGACAATGTGCATGAGCTGCATATATTCTCAACCCAATTCAACTTCACACATTTCTTTAAAAAAAAATTGTTAAACGTACAAATGCAATCATCGAATGAAAAAAATAAATGAAATCTTCGTGGGCAGTCAACAGCAGACATCCTCTGTTATAAGTGGCCCATACCATGTGATTGTAAATTTCCACAAGTTGCTGAGGACTGCAGCAATACTCCATTGAGTAGGGAGGCACTCTAAGAAGGATTCTTCATTCGCTGCTCCTTCTATTGCAGTGGGTCTTTGAAATAAAGTGAGAGGACGTGCCATCTCCTACATGTAAAATGAGAAAATGGTAAAAGTTGGGAAACGAACCCCCGATGCTGACAAATTGCAGGGCAAAGCAATGTGAACTCGGTAGTTAGCTGCGTCTCTCCACCCTGCACATGCCAGGCAGTCCCAGTTTGTACTGTACAGTAACTACTCTACCAGTGAACTTTGTGCTCTAGTGGTTTTCTTTGAATATTTAATTGCCCTTTGTACTCTTTTAAGTTTAGATGAGAGATAAGATTGGGCTCGATGCCCCACCGAGTGGGGACTGCTAGTGGGGTATATGTACTTTTATATGGGGCCCTTTGTACTTTCAAAATCCAAAAAATTAACCCGTAAAAAAAAAGTTTTTCACTATAAATCCTTTATATGCGTGGCGGCTAGAGTCCTCTCGTCCTCTGGCTTGAGATGGTTGCCACCTATGGGTCAGATGATTGCCTGCCACCATTAAGCAATTGGTAATTACAAATAAAAAAAAATTCCTAAAAAGTGTAAAATTTAGGAAAAAATTGTCACGCACAACGAGTCTGTGTGCAAAATGTCAGCTCGATTGGATCACGGGAAGTGGGTAAAAAAACGACCGAAAGATTTGCACGGTCGTAAGCGTGCAAGCAAGCAAGCAAGTGAACTTAATATAAAGGATTTAAAAATCAATACCATTACATTACAAGCTGTAAATTGTTTTAATTTGGCATTCATGTAAATAACGGGTTTTGGGAAAAAAACAAGAAACGGATATACCTGGGAACCCAACCCATAAATTAGCAACTATTTTGAGGACGCAACACCGTATATATATATATATTCGCTGCTCCTTTCACGTACCCCTGCTCATGGCAAGTCACGGTGGCAAGATGTTAACTACCTCGCCTGGTCAACAGGAGGTCGTGGGTTCGATCCCAACTGTGACGCCCCCATATCTGAAATTTGCATATTCTCCCCATGGTCGCGTTAATTTTTCTCCGGTTCCTACAGTTTTTCCCTCCACATTTAGAAACATACGTTTAGGGTATTTGGCTGCTATAAATTTCCACGTGATAAGCCACTTCGCTGAGCTACTATTTGTGGCCAGGTCGCTTCTGAAAGAGAGCTATGTAGCTCAGTATGCATTATCTGGTAAAACATTTTTTTGAAATCTCTGCGCTCTCCTGCACAGGACTAACTTGTTGCAGTGGTGCTTCAGGTGCTTCTTGTAGCCGTCGTCGAGCAGCAGGGCCTCGGGGTTGTACTTTGCGAGCCAGTCCGTCTTGGCCGGGTCCAGCGTGCTGATCTGGGACTTCACCTTCTTGCCCTTCCGCCCGCGCGGCACCGGTGCCGACAGCCCTGAAGACCATCGAGGTAAAAACGACACCACGTCACGGAGCCGGCACGATGATACCCCTGGAGTTGTACACGTACAGCCCTTTCGTCAAATCCACTGCCGGACGAGGCCATCCCACCACCGTGGGGGTTGTTTGACCACCACACTTCACCACACCCCATAGCGCGCGTGGGTTGTTATCAAAGGTAGGCACTGTAGACATGGGAGGATGGTACAGTACAATGGATTTTGTTGCACTGGCCTCTGCTGCCCATATTGTATCCCCACAGTAGCCGATAATAGCAGTTTGTAAAATTTAAGTTGGTCACCTTATCTAGCACTTATTCAGGCTTGACCCAGCTTCCCTTGCGAGATTGGGCAAAATCAGGCACACTCTGGTGATCTGATCAAAAAACCTGACATCCTTCCATAACTAAACTGTAATTAAAACTAGATTTTAGTAATAGGTTTTTTCCCCCTTTTTTCTGTCAACAAAACTGAAACCGTATTACAAGGAATCATGTTTACATTAACCACAATACCTTGAACCTATTATTACATTTTGGTAACTGGCAGAGGAGGCCTTATGATAGATTTCACGTAACTTACGTGAAGCTGATTTTCAAAGGTGTTCACGAACACACTCCGGATCCTTGGTATCTGAACCGGAGCGTGTTGGTGACCACCATATGAACAACTGCATTCTCAACTGTCCTCAGTTACTGGTCTTACTGGTAACTGGTCTGTTACTGGTTACTGGTCTAACACTGCATGCTAGGTATGAAATTAACAATTCATTCATGGATTAAAATCTATACTTGTGCTCACGACACGCGATTCATCGAGAAAGGTAAGAATAAGCGATTCATGAAAAGTACGTGCATATGCCATGTGAATGATCCATTTAGGCTCATAGAGCCAGAAAAGAAGTACAAACCAAACGCAACAAAAGTGAGAATCAAATAAATAAAATAGTTCATGTGAGGCAAAGGAAACGGTTACTGGATTCAATCATGACCCTGAATCCCTGGTTACGAAATCTCTCCATGACAGCATGGACTTTGCATCTATGTATTTGTTAATAAGTTAATCCTACATAATTGAGACCATTTAAAAATGTTATAAATACACTTTTGCCTAGTAATACATAGATTACTGGCTTTTTAAATTTAAATTAAAAAAAACTATGAACCAACCATCTCTTTTAATTTTGCTCTCCATGACACTTCAAAATAAATTGTTGAATTATTTTGTTGAGTTATGTTTGTGAAAAAACTCAGTCTAGTTAATGGCTATTCATTACAAAGTAATTGTGAGTATTGCATTGCAATTATAAACAGCAGGCATAATAATTTGATCGAAGAATATCCCGATTGTAACAGAATGCTGTGAAACGTCTCCATAATAATAATAAGCCATTCCAGTAAAACTTGGTTTGTCGCTTAATTGATCATATTACGGCTCTAAGGACGTAGCATTCAGTTCGATTGCCATGCGACAGAACGTTTGCATGGCGTAAAAAGGTGCAACCACCTATTGTGGATTAACAGGCCCCATTGAAGGAACCTGGGGAGTAGCTCTATGGACGTGTCACATTCCACTGGGTCTGTACTCCTGCGCAGGTGTTTTTCGGTGTGTTTTTGGGTGGCGCCACGTGATGTTCAGCGCGATGCCAGATGCTTCACTCCGCATGCTGGCGGCTGCTTCAAGCGCGTGCTAACAAACCCAAAACACACTGGAAAACTTCCTGGGTCGTGCTCAGACAGAACGTTCACTCTGAGAGCTCGGAAATGTCTTCATATGACATGGCAAGCAGGTGAGGTTCATGGACCCAAACACATAGAGATGAGTCTTCAAAATGAAATGGAAGCTTCGTAGTCTCTTTCGTATTGCAGCACAGCTGACTTAGAGGTGCTCTTGCGGAGATGTTAGAGATTGAATGGTGTAATGACTGAAAATCAGTGCAGCACGCGCATGCAAGGGGGCACTGATTGAGATGTTCGCGTAGAAACAAAGGAAGCTTTTATGTTGTTGTTATTATTTACAGCGTGGGATGCAACACACTTGCCGGCTCTTTTACTTCTTTGTATTTAGTTGTCACCGACTATATGACAATCGTCTTATTGATGTCATGTCATGAGAAGAACACGAATTCCTTCAGGCAGAAGTGCATCATGTCGTTTTAGAAGACACCAGAGGCCTACCTTGATGTATTCAATACTGGTGACTGCGCACAACTCAATATATGCTCACAATGATTTGATAAAATGAATAAATTTTTGCAGTCTCTTAAAAGGCCCCTCAAACCCAACAGCTCTCCTCCTTCAGGCTTTCATGTTGTTACAAGCGTGGCTCACCACATGCCAGTCACCTGATACATTTCCCAAATGTGATCCCTTAAGCTGAATCAAGTGAAACACCACAATTCAACGAATGTCACAATTTTGGGTGATGATTCCAGATTATATTCTTGCTTGTCATTTGCACTTCACATCTGTGCTGTTTGTACTCGGTCTCATTTTTATTGCTGTATCCATGCTGCTCATGCAGTTTGTACTGTCTATAATGTTGATCTATTTAGTTGTTTTGCACTAATTGGTTTTTTCATATTTATACTGCATCACTGCTTGTGACCATTAGCCTGAAGAAAATGTGTATGAAATTAAATAAAAAAAGGAACTGCTTTGGGCTGTGGCTCACAAAACACAAATTAATAATAAGCAACACTCATCATTAATAATGTATTTTTTAACAGATAAAGACAACATTGCCTAAAGTTTCAGGCAATAAGCCTTATTCAGAGCAGTACATTTTTCGAAGAAAAGGCAAGTATCTTTTTCTCACGTGTTTATTTGTGCGTAAAATTACCACAAAGCAAAATGAGATTATTTTAAACAAGATTTGATGTATGTATCGTGAGTATAAGAATCTATTTTAAGCCTACTTGGTTGTTATTAGTGACTGGGCAGCGATAATAAAAAAAAAATCATTACACTTGTAAATCTGGCTTGACGTCAGGTGGCTAGGCACACCACACCATTGTTTTTCGTGATTTGCTTACTTATACTTTGCACCCCTCGATTTTTGTTGTTGTAACTTTGTGACCCACCTCAACTGGAACATTTGTGGAAAAACACCTTCATAGCCCATTGGATTTCTCAAGGATAAATAAAGATTCTCATTCCCACTCGGGAAGGTGACACCACTACTGGCGGGCCCCTCCAACCGACACCAGAAAACCTTCTGAAGCAGTCACAGCCAGAACCTGGCGAACGGCACGAGCGGGGAGGGGGAGTGCCAGGAGAAGAGGGCCCTCACCTGAGTGGTTCTGCAGGGTGCGCGCCTGCCCGTCGTGCGAGGGGGTGATGAGGTCCCACATGAAGCCCTTGATGCGCTCGTCGCCGCGGTAGTGCAGCAGGCAGTAGGCCATGGACACGCGACATATGAGCTCCACGTCGCGCTCCACCAGCTGGCGCTTGAAGCGGCCGTGCCGCAAGATGTCAGGCCACCGGCCCCAGCTGAGGGCGGACGCACCAGGGGGGGAGGGGCAGGGGAGAGCGTGCGCAAGTGACGCTTGGGTTCACATCGATTCTGTGTAATACAGCGCTCAACACGCTGATGTGCACTGTATTGTTGACTCGTGAAACTTTTTCTGGCCAGGTGGCATGGCAGTCAGAATGTCCGTTTGACAATAAAAAGGGCAATACGAGTTCAAACCCTGGTCAGGGGTCAATCATCCCCCCAGGGTTAATAAAATGAGTACCAATTCGTGGAAAATCAACAGTGGTTGCACAATGGTAAGACAAGCACGTTTTCTTAGGAATGTGGAATTTCCAAGCTTCGTTTGTGCAGTCATTAATTGAGAGGATCACAACCCCATGCATGCTTGAGAACAGGGAGACGCCTTGGCGTTGAGCACCCGCTCATGTTGTCTGCCATTACAATCTCGCAGCATGTTCAACCGTTAAAAGAACGTTTTGTAACTGCAAGATGGCGAAGATGATAATGACGCGTGGTGATCGTTCAAGCACAAGGGGCGGTTTCATCACGTTAAATATATCTCTTTCAGAGCGCATATCTCTGCAATGTATTTTTTGTGAAGTGATGGTGTATTACAGATAATGATAACACAACAGATCAGATGTAACAAGCTTACAATGGTCATGCATGCTCATGGGGATGGGCATTAAGCGAGTAAATGCTGCTATCTCACTGCCGAGGTGTGCTTCATGCAAACAGACACAAATCTGGTGCACACACATTGAACGTGAGCACTTGTACATCCTCACCGAGCACACACACGCGTGCACACACACACACGCGTGCACGCACACACACGCGTGCACGCACACACACACGCGTGCACGCACACACACACGCACGCACACACACGCACGCACACACGCACACACACACGCACGCACACACACTCGTGCAAGCACACACACACACGCGTGCACGCACACATACACGTCCACGCACACACACACGTGCACGCACACACACACTTGCAACCACAACCCCCTGAATGCATGTTGCACATTCTGCACTAAAGGCATGCCGACAGCAAAGCTCAATTTCCAATTAATTACGAATCTAATTAATGCAAGGGCTTAAAACGGTATGGTAATGGCGAACCAAACAACAAATGTCGAAGCAGGGATGTGCACATGCACCACGTCGCTTGGAAATAACAAACATGCACGTACAAATATTCCATAAAACATATTTTTAGATCACATCTTACACCGTGATTTTAGATAAAAAGATATCATGTGCAAGTGTTTACAAGATAAATTGCTTAATTAAATGATAATCCATCGTTTGCATTAACTGGTTCATCAAGTAAATTTATTGCGACAGCTCTAATTACCAATCGCCCAGCCGCTCGCTGCTTTAAGTTTGTTAGGGGTATCCAAGCATGTAAACCTTCGTTATGCGACATTTACAGCAATAACATATTTTGGCAGGGCAGACAGCCCCCTACTGTGGGGCTCGTGGTTATGAGAGCCACGCGTGACACGCTACGACACGGCGGCATAGATGCCACGGTCACCAATACAGTACACGGTGGTGCGAGCCATCTTTGAGAGGTGCGCTTTGTAAACACAAGATGCAGTAGAGGCAAAAGAAAGTGCCGAAATTTGATTTATCCACAGGATCTTTTTTCCCACAGTTTCAACTTGATGAAAAACAATAGGCTTCACTCTTTCCGGAAAGAACGCAGGTGTTAAGATGTTCAAACACCAAATAGACACCCATTGCAAGGCATCAAGTCTGCACTAACCACACATGCTTGTGGTAAAACATGTAAACAAACGTGTTTTTTGTTCTCATTATATTTCTTCGTGTGTTTACTTCTGGGGAAAACATCCATTGAGATATCAGTTTAAATGTTTATTTGTCAGTCTCTCCCACTCATTATGTGGACTACAATGATGCAGGAGGATGAAGTGCCACATGAACTACTAGAGATACAGTTCCTGCATGGAGCCTGCTCTCTCTTTCTACATCTCTATTGCACTCCGAGCTGGGCCAGAGTAGCGCTGTGTTAACAGGCTTTGAATTAATCAGAAGATGACATGTTCAATTCCCAGTTGAGGATGAACTAAACCCACAGTCTCTCTGGGATTGATAAAACGAGTGACTTGTCCTACTGATACACTGACCCTGAACCAAAGCAAAAGAGAATTTCCATCCCTGGCTGGTAGGCTGGAAACAGAGATGAGTACAATCCCACCCTCACGTGAAAAAGGAAGAGAATTAGTTTTAATTCAGGCTTTGAAAGAAGGGTCCAACTATCGATTATCTGGGGTAATCGCTATTTAAATGGTATTTAAGCAGTTAAGGCCCCCTGAGCTATGTAGCTCTTTTTCATAAGCAACTTGGCCGCAAATGACAGCTCAACAAAATGGCTTATTATGTAATCCACCTTGCCTGGTATACAGTAGGTTGTGGGTTCGATCTCGACACTGACACGTGTTCTCCCCGTGGGCACGTGGATTTTTCTCTGGATCATTTGATTTTTCCCTACACATTTCGAATCAACAAGTGCTTAGAGTATTTGGCTGCTGTAAATTTCCACGTGATAATCCACTTCATTGACCTCTCATTTGTGGCCAGGTCGCTTCTGAAAAAGAGCTAAAAACTCAGTGGGCCTTACCTGGTAAAATAAAAAAGAATAGCTTAGATATCATTCGCCACTGATGTTAGCCTTGACTGAAAATCAAATTCAAATACTGGATTCAAAGCACATTGTGCTAACTACTGTGCCACAGATCCATCTTATTTACTAATTTTGCATACATATGAGATTACTAGTGACAACCCATCAAAGCAGAATTATGTTTGACAAGGGATACATAGGATGCATATTTATTTATTCTAGAAAACCTCACTGGGTCTCAAGAGTATTTTTCATGCGCGTCCTGCTTTTGGATGTTTCTGTGTGTGTGGAAAAAACTGGCCTCGGATATACGTTTGGCCGAGGTGACCCTGGCTGGGGTCCAAAACCATTTTTAATGTTTTAATCTCTCATCTCACAATCGGGATGTTGCTGTTGTTGTTGTTAACAGTACCCGTAGATGAGCAGGTTCTTCTCGACACGGAAGCACTCGGTGCGCTGGTAGCCCTGCGCCCGCTCGTGGGGGCGCCGCCCCTTGTGCGGCCGCTCGTCGTCGCTCTCCAGGCCCGAGAGCTCAGCCAGGTCCTCGCCCTTGGCCGCCGTGTACTGACGCACCTGCTTGCGGATGCGCGGCGTGTCGATCACCAGGCTGTTCTGCTCGTTACGGACGCACGCACACGCACAAACACGCAAGCAGATTAAGACACAAAGAGGGCAAAAATACCTCCCCTACGCAGCGTTTAGCAGGGATGTAATCGATTGATTGAAATTGATCTCTGAAGTGGTCTGATGGCTTGGGTGGGTGGGGCAGGTCTGAATTCAGGTCAGTCAACACCGCTGATTTTATGGGTTTGAATCTGGGCAGCCACCCATGATTTAATTGGGTTCTCAAAAGTAGGAAGTTTATAGTCGGAGAGAGCCGAGTCATCGATTACCGCGTGCAAACAACACATCATATAAAATTTGTGTATGTGCTCAATCGGCTTATTGTTGTTCTGATAATATGAATGATTTATCGACATGTTATGTACAACCGCTGAAGGGAATCATTTGAGTGCCCTTAGTGTGCATAACTGAAGAGGACTTATTTCTGTGGCATCTTCCGGGATAATTTTCTGACAACTGGTGATACACCGCAACCTATAGAGCAAATAGATTACAATCCAGCGGACTGTTATTGCCATGCGCATGGTGATCTCTGTGTGATCTACCAATTCCACATCCAAAATTCTCAATAAGAGGTGTGCATCAAAGCAATGACTTATAGCTGTGCGTCTGTTACAGCAATTGCTGTTAGTGATCACTTACAAACTGAAACTAACCTTTTTTAAATCCTTTATATTAAGTTCGCTTGCTTGCTTGCGTGCTTGCTTGCTTACGACCGTGCAAATCTTACGGTCGTTTTTTAACCCACTTCCCGTGATCCAATCGAGCTGACATTTTCCACACAGACTCGTTGTGCTAGACAATTAATGTTCGTGAAAAAAAATTCCCAAAATTTTACACTTTTTAGGCAAAAAAAAATTATTTTACATATATTCAAATAGAACTCATTCATGGCTTTGGCTGAACGTCACAGTGTAAGAGCCCAGAGCGTAACCCCTCCACAGGCCGTGGCGGAGTAGCGCAGTTGGTAGCGCCCTCGCTTCCCATCCCAAAGGTCGCGGGATTGATCCCCGCGTCCTCCACAGGCGAATATATTTTTTAATCCTTTATATTAAGTTCGCTTGCTTGCTTAGGACCGTGCAAATCTTTCGCTCGTTTTTTAACCCACTTCCCGTGATCCAATCGAGCTGACATTTTCCACACAGACTCGTTGTGTGTGACAAATAATTTTCGTGAAAAAAAATTCCAAAATTTTACACTGTTTAGGGAAAACAAATTAAATATTTAATTACCAATTGCTTAATGGTGGCAGACAATCATCTGACCCATAGGTGGCAGCCATCTCAAGCCAGAGGACGAGAAGACTCTAGCCGCCACGCATATAAAGGATTTATAGTGAAAAACTTTGTTTTTACGGGTTTACTTGTTTTATTTTACCAGGTAAGGCCCACTGAACTATATAACTCTTTTTCAAAAGCAACCTGGTCACAAACGATCGCTCAACAAGTGGCTTTTCAAGTGGAAATTTATAGTCGCCAAATACCTGAACTGCATGTTTTTAAATGTGGAGAGAAAAACCGTAGGACCCGGAGAAAAATCCACGCAACCACGGGTAGAACATTCTAACTCCAAATATATAGGTGACAGGGTCAGGATCGAACTCACGACTTCCTGTATAACAAGAGAGGAAGTTAACATCTTGCTCTGACGTGGGTATAAAGGTCATCCATCTAAATTCCATGAACCTAGGCAATTGGAAAATACTCTGAACAGAATGCACCATCAACCATGATAGACAAAGACAAAAATCGCCATATCGGCTTCACAGACTGGAGGAGTATGTGCTGTGAGCGCATCAGGTACTCATTTGAGGGGAGGCCCAGAATCGGTTCCGATAATCATTACCGGTGTGGGCCGTGATCAGGAATTGAACTCGGGTCGCCGGGTTCGTAGCGCAGTGCGCGCTAACCGCTGCGCCACCGCTCGGCTCTCACGCAGTGCCACGCAGTGCCACGCCATGCCCGGTGGCACACTGGCCATGCTCACCTTCCCGTGCATGGACTCCAGGTCAATCTCCGCCTTCTTGGCCCACTTCTGCCAGAAGTTGGGGTCGTCCAGCGAGATGTCCGTCCGGTTTCCCGACGCGACGAAGCTCGCCTGCATCGAGCACACGCGACGAGGTCGGTGAGACGCCGTAACTCGACCAACGGCTCAATCCCCCCGTGACCGCAGGCGCAGGCCCTCATTAAGCGACAGCTGTTGACTCATTAACAGGCGTTTTATTGTCGTAATGCCGAACATTGTCTGTCCTCCACTACTCACCCTTACGTTCAACAGTAGAGTCTGTGGTAGGTAAGCAGCTATTTAACTATTCTATGTCTTATGGGTATGCACTTAAAATAGGGAAAGTGGACTTTCTTTGTTCGCTACTCTATTTGTGGAAGAAATCTCTCCTTTGGAAATATAAAAAGTGGACTCCTTGCCTGCCTTTAACACCAAGCTGAATGCAAAATTCTTCATTACGTTTTACAGACAGCACCTAAGGAATTAACTATTTTATATTTTGTCTTACATGTATTGGAATTGTGTATTTACCGGTGCTCCTTAAATTATGTTAAATATTAGAAAAATATATATGACCACCTTCACTGTCTTGAAGCAATTTGTTTTATGGTTAATTAGAAGATATTTACACTCAAGTGTAGATTTCTCTTTCAACGCATGTCAATGGTTCATAGCATACAACTAAGCTGGGGTGAGGTGTGGGGTTGGGGTGAAGGTTGCCGCACCTTGACAACTGTGCAACATACAAAGTCTGATATTGGCAAAGATGATTATGATAATGATGATGCTAATGCTAACTATGACAGTGATGATAGAGGTGGACAAGGATGATGGTGGGTAGGCGTCACCTTGGCGAAGGTGGAGCCCTTGCCCTCCGACTCGATGGTAATGGTGTGTGTGCGGCGCTGCAGGATCTGGTCGATGTCCTCCTCACAGAACTTAGAGCCCTCGTCCTCCTCATCCATGATGGCTCCGTACGCGCCCTTCCTCAGCAGGTCCTCGATCTCCTTCTTAGACATCTGCTGCTTCACGTCAGAGCCACATACCACCGTCAAAATCTCCACGGGTCAGAATATTACTAGGTCCCACTCATTGCACACAAAGTGCTTGCCACAAATGAACAACAATACCTTGCCGATCTCATCAAGGAGCATAAACCATCACGCTACCTCTGGTCATGCTCGCAGCGGCTTTTGGCTGGCCATCGAAACAAAGATGGTCATCACATCACACGATTCAGATGCGCTCCTGCGGCCATCTGGAAAGCTCTTCCTTACGATATTAGAAAGCCACTGGAGCTATGTGATTTTACATCTCGATTGAAAGCACATTTATTTAGAACTGCCTTTTGTGCTTAGTTTGTTGTCCTTCCTCCGCATCTCCGATTGGCACGGTTGGCTACGTACGGTGCGAAAGAAGTTCAACATACATACTTAGTGGGGCTACTTTAGAGGTGGCCGGGTAGCTAGGGAAATTGAGCACTAAGCCAGTGTAGCAAGATCTGATAGTATCCGGTTGGTCATCAATGACTCTGCAAAAAAAAAGTGATTAAAGTCAGAGTCAAATGCACGCTAGGGCATGTCACTGTGACACCATTGTCAGACTTTCCTACAAATCTCTAAATGTCACAAGAAGATTCCTGCCTGTGATTATATTTTATTGTTATTAAATTAGGTTACAAATTGATGCATGACAGCCTGAGTCACACAACCCAGGTACTCACTATAAGAAAAAAAGTATGTTTTTTTCCCCCATTTAAATTCTCCTTAATAGAAAATTACAAAACGTGCCAAAGCACGGCCGTCAAAAAAACGTCTTGAGACTCAGTACTAAATCATTTGCACTAAATCTTGACTTGAAGCTTTCGTGACTGCAGGAATTCATATTCTTTGGGTCTTTCGGTAAAGTCACGTAGATAGGTTCAAAGAAAAAAACAAAAAATAACAAAAAACTCGACGTTTCGATCGCAACACAAGCGTGTTTCGACACCAATGTGGGCACCGACACCGACAACTGACACAGCAGTTTCGGGGGTAGCGACATGACATAGTGGTGGGACATTCGCCACTTGTTGCAGAGGTTTGCAGTCCGAGCCCGGCAGCCACCCTGGTTATTACTGCGAGTGTAATAACCGTAACCTGGTGCGACATCTACATCACAACTGACAATATAGATTGCCTGATGGTATTCGAAAACAGCAGGCCAATGTGTGCCATCATCAGGGTAAACATTTACAAATTCGAACAATGACCTGGAAATTACTCAATTGGAATTACACACAGCAATCATCGCCCCATACTCAGCAGACGAATGCCCATTTGGCAGGCCAGGTGCTGAGTCATCTTGTGCCCACAGAGATAGCTGCCACTGGGAGTGCCCTTTCAAATGTTTGAGATGAGGTGTGATGTAAAGTGTCCTGAGATGCCCTGGCGTAAAAGGCGCTGTGTGAAATAGAATATCATGACTGCTGGCAAGGGACAGGCACCCAAAGACGAGCACTGTACAAGTTAGGCATCGTCGGCAAGCGCTCACCCCGTTGGTGGTGTTCTCCCGGCCGCTCATGGATTGCAGGACGGCACGGTCGAGGCCCAGCTTGAGGCTCGCCTTGTCGAACATCTCGCGCTCGTACGAGTTGCGCGTGATCAGCCGGTACACCTTGACCGCCTTGCTCTGCCCGATGCGGTGGCACCGAGCCTGGGCCTGAGGCGGACGTGCAGGACAAACAGATAAACCACACACATAGCAGAGGCTGTTTATAATGCACGTACGCAAGTAAATGCTCGGGGTTGGCAGTCAGTTGTTCCCTTGCGAAAATGGGTCGATGGCAGCGTTGAGCTGCCATAGACTGGCGGTCAACAGCGGGGATTTCACATTCCCATGACGAGCGTATGGGAATGTGCAGTCACAGCAAGACCTGTTGGCTTAGCATGGGGTAGTGTTGATTCTACAAACGCAACAAAGAATGATGACTGAATCAACTCACAACCTTGTGATTGTGCGTCGAGTACTCAAACCACAACACTATTGGCAAGATGCTATGCATTACGTCGGTACGGGTGAGGACCAAAATATCGTTACATTTATTCCATCAATCTACGGGGGGCAATGCTGGAGATTAATATTCACACGAGACGATTTGTCAGAGGTAATATTAGTTCAGTTTAACACGTAGGCTTTCGCGACCAATATTATCCAGAGGTTTTTTGGGTTAGAATGTGATCTCACCCAAAAAACCTATATTATGTAAAATTTGTTCAGTTTCCACATCTCTTAAGATTTAGCAAAGTGTTTCCTTTTGAAACTGATTCCACTGGGCACCCTGCTGCTAATACCCACAGGAATCCCGGCAATACTGGTGTAAGAGATTTTACTCGCAAAGAGATAATGAGGCACACGTTTTATAAGGAAGGCATGAATTTATTCTGACATTTATAGTGGCCAGTGAAAACCAAAACTACCGACTCTTCCTCTTAACCCAGAACCATATAAAGCAAGCGTCAGGGTCGGGATTAAACTCACGACCTCTTGTATACCAAGCGAGGTAAGTAAAATCTCACCACCGCGGCTAACATCGACCACACGGTGATGGGATGAGAGTGAACAACAACAGGGCTAAATCCCTTCCACCCCCAATTCTCTATCTTGCCCCCCATGCCTCCCGGTGCCTCACCTGCAGGTCGTTCTGGGGGTTCCAGTCCGAGTCGAAGATGATGCAGGTGTCGGCGGCCGTGAGGTTGATGCCGAGCCCGCCGGCTCGCGTGCAAAGCAGGAAGACGAAGCGGTCCGAGTCCGGCTTACAGAAACGGTCGATGGCCACCTGACGCATGTTCCCACGCACGCGCCCGTCGATTCGCTCGTATGGGTACCTGCGGGCGTGGAGAAGCGCAGCAGCGACAACGATCAAGGGTCTCGCATTAAAATCTGGGCTCTCACCTTACACTTGTACGTTTACAGTCCGTTTAGTTAATCCACTGCTGGATGACGGGCTTCCCCGTGCCGCATGGGTCGCGTGGATTAGTTGACGATGCTGGTCAGAGCAGGTGAGTAAGGAGGAGGGAGCACAAATGTGATAGCATGGTAGAGTTCAACACAATAATATACTGCACTGTCCTCTCTCTGCTCCTCCCCAAGCAGCCCAGGAGCCCCATGACAACCTGTTTGTGCGTGGTGGTCACACAATCAAGCACAATATATGCTCAATTCTGCTTTACTTGTGAGATTTTATGATATCAGGTACATTCCGGCTTATGTGCTCAGAGGTATTTCACCTTATTTGGTTAAATCCAGCTCTGGAAGCAAAAAAAACCCATCGGTTTGACTGCCACATGTGACAAACATTTGTCAGTAGCATTGCGAGTGGCAAAGTGCACCTCCTGTATGTGGACAGTCTCTTGATGAGGGATGTTCACAGCAGTTCCTTCAGTTCTCTAACACATGGGGATGCATTGCTCTGTGAGATTATTTGTCCCATCACATGACCCTGATAGCCTTAATCAAATAATAATTGATTGCATAAAAATGCAACCATAACCCCAAACTTGCTCAGATCCCCGACGGAACTAACTGTTCGTCGCGCTCATCCGACCCAACGACGCAAGTTGCATTTACAGTGATGATACTGTGGAGCAAGCATATTAAGCAGAATGTAACATTGGGGATGACGATAATGCACGCTGCTGCGTACCGTTTGGACGCCTGGTCATTTTCTTGCCATTCGTAAAAGAAGGTGCAAAGTTTTTTCGGTAGTCACGTAGGTAAAAAACATTAAAAAGTAAAATAAAATAAAAATCACGACGTTTTATTTTATTTTACTTTTTAATGTTTTTTACCTACGTGACTTTACCGAAAAAACCTAAGGATATGAATCATTGCAGTCACGAAAGCTTCAAATCTAGAATACAATAAGGCTCTTTTTAAAATAATAAAACAAAAGCAGGAGGGGATGTTTTATGCGTCAAGTGAAGCAGATTTATGACAGCGCTTTCATTTTGTCTCTCTTTGGAAACAAGGTGCCTCATTTAGCCCAGCGCCGCTGTCCACAGGACACTGCTGGGACGACGAAGAAGCTCCCAGTCAATGTTTCTGGCACTTATATTAATGTTGTGTAGGTTTTCGAAGAAATGCAAGGGAGCTCCCTTCTCGCTAAGATTCCTCGAACACTGAGGGTTCAATTACCACCCCCCCCCCCCCCCCCATACACGAAACGTCGAGCTAACGCTGTTCAGGAGACCACAACAATTTATGTTTTATCCAGGAAAACCTAAGCGAAAGGCTTTTTCCTGCCATAAAAGTGAACATTGAATGTTCTCGTCTTCTCCTGCTATGGTTATATTATTTGCACCGTCTCTTCGAAGCCGAATATATCTTTCCCTTCCAGGCGTATCGCTCACTCAGTAGTACATCTCTCGTGCTGCGTTCATCTCGCTCTCAATATATCGTCATGTAAAGTATCGTACTCAATAATCACAATGTAAAATAGCTCTCCACTTCTTATGTTACTCGAAACATCTCCCTTCTTTTCTCACTCCGCAACGACAGTGCCATGTCTGCTTCTCCCTCTGCTCCCCTCGCCCCTACATCTCTGTGCAGCGTATTTGCTCATCTCCTTCAACACATCTACTTTTCCTCTGTCCGCAATTCTGAAGTGAGTTGAATGGGCTTCGATTTCCCATACTAAGGGCACGTATTTTATGTGTTTTGTCAATCAGAACTCAAACTAACATTCCTAAAAGCAGATACTCAGATTTTAAGTGATTGTTTTGCTCTCTCAACAATTGTGCATTTATTTGTGACCAAGACGAGATCATCAACTGGCTCCACATTAAAAAAATCAGTTAAATCACCCATAAAGGTTTTTTAGGGTTAGACTTCGTAAATATAAATGTGTCGTTAAACCCGCCGCCACACGACACAGCCAATTAGTAAGGTTCGTCACGTAAACAGAACTTGCCACTTAGTTACTACTTCAGCACACCGGTGTGTTGGAGAGTAAACCCACAACATTTACAATCTGATTACAACATTTTGCTTGTGATTACAACAATCAGCTTCATCAGACGATATCCAGAATTGTAAAAAGTCCTCCTGTTTTGGTCTTAAATAGTGGGAGTAAATTTTACATATCTGTAGACCTATCAGGTCCACAGATATGAGTTAGAATGGATCATGCTAATCTGAGAATACGCTGAACCTTTTATTTCTTGGGTTATTCAGTTATTTTTACACAATCTAACCTACAAAAACCTTTATTATGGATATTGGCCATGAAAGCCTGCATGGTAAAGAGTTAAATCAAGCGTGGCTGGAACCTAGATTTGAAATCACGATCTCAGTAGTACCGGGTAAAATTCATGCCTCTAACCTCTCTTCATCCATACAGCCATATATATATTATATAATTTTAAACGAATTCACTCAGGTGTATGCCATGCATGATGCAGGTGTCTCAGAGAGCGGCACAGGACGTGGTCTTTATTTCAGGATGCCAATTAAACCAGTCCCGGGTGGTGGCAAATCAACACACTGCGAGGAGAAAACCAATTGTACTCACTACAGCGCTCTGGATCTGGTATCTGCAATCCTCTGCATTTCGACTCCTATTGAGAGTTGTTCTGCATCTTGTACCTGCAACACTAAATTTCAGCTCTTCTATTGAGTCACTCTGCATTTCAGCTCTTAAATTGAGAGTCAATCTGCATTTTATATCTCCAACACTCTGCATTTCAGCTCTTCTATTGAGAGTTTGATACACGATGCATCGCTCCATGTGTAGCTATGACAATGGCGTTGATAAAAAAAAAATAACTGGTCAACCCAGAATTGGGAACAGCAAGGCTCAGGATTAAAGTGCAACCTTTGCCCGCAATCATCATGCATTCCGTACTGAAGCATGTGCGCGTTTTATGTCACAAACAGCCATGCTCTGGGTCAATTACTCTGCAAGGTCAGTGACACGTGTTTAATGACACCAATTACTTTCCTGCCTGAACTGCAATTGCTTTTGTGGGAATATTAACCCAAGAGCCAGCAACTTTTGCAAACAATTGTAACGATAAAAATAAATATACTTAATGGAATTTGGAAACGTATGATAACTGGAACTTCAATCAATTCCCTTTTATACGATTCCTGCAAAGAAATAGATGGAGCTATGGATATGAGCTCTGTTGAATCTGAGCATGTAAAAGGGGAATATATTCCCACATGCCACAGATACAAGTCTTGTACCTTCATGTTGTACTGCCTTCTTACAGGCATCTTACTCGTCTGCTTCATCACTGTCTGATCCACCAACTCTACTATTGGCCCTAGAGAGGAGTATGGAACCCAAAGTAAAAGCTCAACATGAGTTTCGGGTTGGATAAAAATATATAATACGGGCACATTAACAGGAATACTCAAATATATTGCACCACTGACAAACGTAACTCACTATGAACCACAAGGTAAGTACATGTGAAGGGTGTACATTGGACAGACACCACGAGTCGTTCTGGACATTTGTGAAAAAGAACTTCATAGCTCATTGGATTTCTCCTCCTGCATTCTAAATAAAGATGTTGATTCTGATGTTGAGTGTCACAGCTGCGTCTGTGCACTGCTCTGAAGTCGGTGTCCTGAAATGAAGTGTCATGGCATAAAGTGGCACCACATCCCCTAAGCTGTACGGGTTAACCCTCGCAAAGCTGTTCACGGGCCAATGAGATGACAGCTCTCGGCTTCGGCTGATGGGAAGATTCCAATCACCGCGCTAAGCTGGATGTCTTCCAAGCAGCACCGTGAAGAGTGTAGGGCCCTCTCAGAACACGCCTCCCGTAGGCACGCATGCGTACATGCACAAGCATGCGCGAAGAGCCAAAAACCCTCACCTTGGCATTTGAGACACCTGGGACTAAAGCTCGTTGTGAGCGCCGCGGTTGGCGAGATGTTAACTACCTCGCCAGAGATATAGGAGGTTGTGGGTTCGATCCCGACCTTGACGCCTGTATATTTGGAGTTTGCATGTTCTCCCCGTGGTCGCGTGGATTTTTCTCCGTGTCCTTCGTCTTGAGTATCACGGGCGTGAGTCTAACTCGAGGCACTGTGATCATAGTAGAGTGTGGATACCAATGCACTCTACCACATGCAAACTCAAATACACTGCATTCAAATTACCCCGGCAGTCTTGAAATCAATAATAAACATACATCTAATCGTACAAAATTCTGTATATATGAAGTAGAAATTAACATATTAGAGCGTTGACTGCTGATGAAAAATACAATGATACCCTTGAACTAGCCAGACTGCAAAAGCCCATCATTGTCTGGCCACAAAATTAAAAAAATGCTTGTCTGTCACTGCTGCCATTTTGTGGTAATTATGGCATCTCATGAACAGCATTGCATCTGAAAATTAACTGGCATTTACGCCAATAACCATGGCAGCTCTTGAACTCTGAAAAATGGAATCCAAAATTGAATCTTCTTAAACAAACGGCAGAGACAACTGAAACGGGACCAGTGAAACAAAGCAGAGCTCGGGTTCTCGGCGTTGATAATTCGCAGTTCCGTTGGACAAGGACAGAGCTTGCAGCGATGGCTGCTAACGTGGCTTCCGCAGATTTCCGCTGGCCTCAGCCGTGCCACTCATGCGTGCCAGGCGCTGCCAGCTGTTATTACTGGAGCCTCCGTCAAAACAACTGCCTGCGACACGAGCCGCCAAGAGTGAGACCTCCCGCCATCGCGATGCATCTGCGTCGTGCGCAAACGCTCTCACCCACTCCGGCGTGCACTCGTGCCGACCTACTCAAAAGTCTGGATTAAGAGAGGTGGTGGCTCGGTCGCTCTTGGGGCTCGTACTGATCGTGTCGCACCACAGATTCGAG